TGCCAGGCCGATATCTTCCAAACGCCACGCTGTAGCAGCAATTCCTTGGCAAGGAGTCAGGAGCAGATCTTCACCCCGTTGAATTGAACTAATTGTCTCCTGCAAACTCCCCTCCTCTTCTGGCTCCTTTTAACACTCTAGAATAAGACAAGTAACATCCTCATCTTTTAAGGGCAGTGAAATAAAACATCAGAGCCTCGACTTTTGCTTGTGCATTTATGTATTAAATTTATTCGCCACCCATTTTTGACCCCAGGGCAACTCTGGCTGGCTTGCAATATTACAAAGATAAAACTGTACAAAACCCACGGGCACCGTGAATAAAACACTCTAGGAATCCAAATACTCGGCCCTAACTCCAAGACGGGGAGGGAGCGAGTAGGATAAGGAAGGGGGAGAGAAGAGATCAAGAGATTAATCTGATCAACCAACCCGTATTTAATATGCACTAGCTGTTTCTGTAACAACTCGTTTATCCAATTGGCAACACCCAAAGTTGAAAATTTATATATATAAAAATGGTTGTCTCTGTGTGTTTGTGTGCGTGTGTGTTCCAGCATAACTCTGGAACGCCTCGAGCAATTTCAACCAAACTTTGTACACTCTCTGGAGAAAAATATTATAGGGGTGAGACACCCCTAAAATCCCTCGGTGTGTGTGTTCTGTTAAGATGCAGCCTGTTGTGCCTTTAAATGGCTTCTACTGTACTGCTGTAAAATGGCTTCTAGTGTACAGTACTGTACTGGTAACAGTACTCCACCAGGGGGCTCCCTCTGGTAAGGGGGAAAATCAAACATTAGAAATTACGTTTGGTCCGGACATTTTCCCCCTATAAATAAATACCTGGGCTACTCTAGTTTCATATGTTTCTTATTCCATCTCAGGCACAAACATTTCTTTTGAATTAGAATGTCAATTCGAAATACCTTGGCAGGTTTACGAGAAATTCCTGGGGGAGGCTTTGTGGGAGAGGATCCCTTGTTGTTTGAAAAGGGTCCCCGTGGGCCCCTCCCTGCCCCCGGCTTCCTACCTGGGGAGCCTCACGCTCTCTCTTCCCCCAGGTGAGCGTGGTGAGTGCCTTTGCCCAGACCCTGCGCAGGTACACCTCCCTCAACCACCTGGCCCAGGCCGCCCGGGCCGTCCTCCAGAACACCTCCCAGATCAACCAGATGCTCAGCGATCTCAACCGGGTGGACTTCGCCAACGTCCAGGTCAGTTCAGGTCTCGGGGTCTCCCGGAGGGAGGCGGAGCAGGGAGGGGTTCCGTGGGCAAACTGCTGGATGGGACTCGTAGTTCTGTAGGATGCCGCCCAAAAGCCATACGTGAGAGTTTGTGTTTGCCCCCAATATTTAGAATTTTGAAATTGAAGTCGGGGTCCGTGGTGCTCTCTGAGCTTGGTGGTTTCCTTGCAGACGTTTCGTGGCCCAACTAGGCAGCATCATCAGTGGTGGTGAAGGTGGGGTGGGCTCCCTTCTTTAGGTGCAGAAGTTTACCAAGGAGAAAATCAACACTCCCCGTTAATGCTGGTAAGTGATGTTACCACGTTGGGTAGTGGAAGGAGACCACCGAGCTCAGACATCACCAAGGACCCCACCAAAAGAGAAACCCAGATAAGCAGGGATTAACACCAGAAAGACCATCAGACAGAAAACAACGTCCCATCAAGGCTGGCAAGGCAAGCTGCTATATATAAAGAAGAGAGCAAACCCCTCTGCCTTCTAGCACTGATGGTGATACCCAGTTGGGTCATGAAAAGTCTGGAGGAAAACCATCAAGTTCAGAGAGCACCCAGGAATCCCCCAGTCCTCCTTCTCCTCTTCCTCCTCCTCTTCTCCAACCCACTCCCTTCTCATACTGATAATGTTACCTGGTTGGGTAATAAAACGTCTTCAAGAAAACCACCAAGCCCAGACGGCACCCAGGACCCCCCCAGTCCTCCTCCTCCTCCTTCCCTTTCTCCCCCTCCTCCATCTCCTCCTCCTTCTTTCCCCCTTCTCTTCCTCCTTTCCTCCGCCTCCTCTCCTTTCTCCTTTTCCACAAACACCTACTCCCTTGTAGCACTGATGGTGCTACCCAGTTGGGTCATGAAAATTCTGGAAGGAACCCACAAAGCTCACAGATCACGCAGGATCCCACCCTCCTCCTCTTTCTTCCCTTTCTCCCCCTCCTCCTCCCCTCCTACTTCTCTTCCTCCTTTCTTCCTCCTCCAAACCCCTTCCCTTCTAGCCCTGATGATGTTACTTAATTGGGTCATGAGATGTCTGCAAGAAAACCATCAAACTCAGAGAGCACCAAAGACCCCACTGTTCTCCTCCTCCTCCTCCTCCTCCTCCTCCTCCTCTTCCTCCTCCTCCCTTCTAGCCTTGATGGTGTTACTTAATTGGGTTAAGAAAACCTCCCAGCCCCAAGGACACCCCACCCCCTCCCCCATGTCAGCCCTGAGCCTCAACCTTTCTCTTCCCCCCCCTCCCCCCGGGCAGGAGCAAGCCTCCTGGGTCTGCCAGTGCGAGGAGGGCCTGGTGCAGAAACTGGAGCAGGACTTCAAGGCGACGCTGCAGCAGCAGAGCTCCCTGGACCAGTGGGCGCGCTGGCTGGACGAGGTGGTCACGCAGGTGCTGAAGCCCCACGAGGGCGCGGCCAGCTTCCCCCGGGCGGCCCGGCAGTTCCTGCTGAAGTGGTCCTTCTACAGGTAAGGAGCCCTCTGCCTCCTTCCCCCCTCCCCCCCAACTCCTCCTCTTCCTCCAGAGCCTCGGCCCGAGGGTGGGGAGAAACTGACCGGGGCTGCGGTCTGATCTGCTAGCTTTCTCATTGGAGAGGAATCTCTGACCTGGAAGGGCATGTCGTCATCACACACACGCACCACACACACACACGCTAATGCACTACTTGTAGTGATGGTGTTACTACCTAGCTGGGTATTGAAACATCTGCAAGAAAACCACCAAGCTCAGAGAGCACCAAGGACCCCACAGTTCTCCTCCTCTTCCTCCTCCTCCTCCTCCTCCTCCTCC